CTTCTTCCTCTTCCTCACAACCCTGCCCCCCCCTTTCCGCCGTCCGTCCGTCCGCAGGCTCCTCGGCTGCTCCTGTGGGTGGCATTGGTATGCGCAAGGCAGTGTGTCTATTGATGATCTCGATTTTATATGCGCGAGAGGTGTGGGTTTTGTATTGGTATGTGCGAGAGGCAGTGAGTGCAGTTGTGCGTGCCTCCGGATCGGTATGCGTGGGCGCTCGCGCGCTTGATGCGGGGAGGTTGTGGGGGGGACTGGGCGAGCGGACCTTGGGGTGTGGACCCTCTGCCGAGAGCCTGCTTGTAGGGTGGTGCTTGTGGTGCTGCTGAGGAGTCGAGGCTCGTTCGGGTTCGTTCTTCGTTCCCATCCGCCACAGTCTCGGTTTTCGTCCCTGCTGCTTTGTGTACCCATTTTGGAGAGCGCCATGCAGCCCTGGCGCCCCCCCCGCCCCCGCCCTTCTCCTTCGGCAGGCCGCTCCCCAGCAGCTGGAAAGAAGTTTCTTTGCCACATTCCGGGGGGGGGGGGGGGTGCGTTCAACGCTGTCCTGGTTTGCTTTGGAAAGTTTCTTTTGTTGCCGATGGAAGCAGCCGTGTGCCAGGGTTAAGCGGGAAGGGAGAGCCCTGGCCAGGCGGCTTCGGTGGCACCGGGCTGCACCGGGCGGCGTGTCCGTGGCAGCGGCGAGGAGGACACCCGGCATCAGCAGCGCAGCATCCTTTCCTCACTGCTCTCCAGCTTCTCGCATCCAGGAATACCCTTCCCCTGCTCGTGGGCGGAGGTCCCGCTCGGCTGTCCTGCCGGCCAAGGACAGCCCGGTCCACCACACGCTCGCCACATCCATTTTCCTGGAGTGCCCAGGCCAAGAGCCCCGTGTCCCCCCCCCCCGAGCCGGGGGTCCGAAGCATGTCAGGCCTGCCGTACCTTTGCCTTCTCCGTGGCTCTCCGGCGAGGGGCCTTTGGCGGCTTAAGAACGCGGGACGCCAGCCCTGCCGAGTCTAAGTGGTCCGTCCGCTGGGCTCGGGCCCGGGAGACCCAGGGGCTCGTCCCCACTCGGGCATAATGAAATACAACAAAGAACTGGAAACGAACGAGCCTGCCTGAGTGACGGTGGGCGGTCCCTGCCTCCCAGCCCAACCTGCCCCACCGGGCGCTTGCCGTGAGGATGAACTGGAGGGGAGCAGACCCTCCCCGGGTTCCTCGCAAGAGGAAGGCACGTCCGTGGGGAGGACGATTCGCCAGGCCCTCCTGCTTCCCACCGCCAGCCCCAGAGGTGAAGCCGCAGAGCGGGACATCGGCGCGCACGTGTGCAAGCGCCCCCTGCGCCTCTGCCCCTCGGGACGTGCCCGGAGGCACTTTCGCGCGCGTGACGCAGAGGCAAGGGCGGCCGGAGGCGTCTGCGGCGGCGCCTCCGCGCAGGGAAAGCGGGCCAGGCCCTCTGTGGCTGGCAGTGGCTGGCGGAGGCCTCCCTCCGGGAATGCTGGCCAGCCTCTTCCCGAGGCCAGGGGCTGCTGCTCCATCGCGGCCCCCCACATCCCACGAATGCATCGCCGGAACCGGCAGTGTGCCTGAGAGGGACGTGTTCTCCCACCAGGCCGATGGGGGGCGCAGCGCGGAGCGTGTGCTGAGCCGATATTGTGCCGCTCAAAGTGCTCCCCCGAGCCCTGGCGCGGCTGCTGTTTTCCGCGCAGACGTCTGGCGTCCCCCTGCGTGGCGGCTGCTCCCGCTGCCTTGCTTCCGCCTTCACTGGGTCCCGAGCAGGAGGCGAAGCCACGGCTCGCCCGGGTGCCGTGCGCTCGCCCTGGCGGACCCCACTTTGGCAAAGAGCGCCGGCGCGGGGGCCTGGTGGCCGGAGGACGGGGGGAGCGGGCAGGGTCCGGGGCGACGTAGCAGCCAGAGGTTCGGCCTGGCAGGGGCACTTAAGCATTCCCGAAATGACTGCAGGCGCCACTCTTGGCGTGTGCTCCGAGAACACGCAGGGTGTCTTTCACTTCTCAGAGCAAGAGGCGCTGGGGCCGGGCCTGCTGTGCACCCTGGGGGGAACATGGCTCCCCCAGGATAGGTCGCGGCTCTTCTGGGGGGAGCAACAAGCACCTTGCACATGCACAGAGGCTATTTGCAATGTACCTCCATGGGGACCATTTGAAATTAAACGCAACAGACCAACTTGCGCAGAAAGGCGAACGTGAGCAAAAAAGATCAGGGAGGCTCACAGGAGAGACGGTGATCCTTGGGGGAGGCCCAGGCCAAGCCATGACCCGCATGCTGAGCGAGGCCCAGAAACGAAGGCTGAGAGCTAAGCGCCTTGCCCAGGCCTGCTCAGCCGCTCGGTGGCAGAGAGGGCGACCCGGGTCCCCCGGGCCGAGTTCAGAGCTCCCCTGCCCCTTGGTCGCGCTGTCGCATCCTCAATGGAGCTTGGTGTGTTCGGATTTCTTTATTTTTGGAGGGTTTGTTCTCTTCCTCTTTGGAGTTGCACTGCGAATGCTCTGCGGATTTTAATTATAACCCCAGCAAGGGAATCAGCGATAATTGAGCTAAATTTGTGTCATACTGTATGCTAATATTTTTTTTTGCAATTAGTGGCTTTTTAGCAAGATTCCTCTCTTGAGCTCAGCTTCTTACTGCTGCACTGGGAAAGTTGTCAGCATGCATTTTTCGTTCTTTTCTTCTCTGTCCCCCCCTCCCCCCCCTGCCCTCCCAGTGTTACAAACTTAATTTCTTGGAAGGCGGTTTTCAGCACCAGCGGAGTGATATCCGGATACCGGGTCCCATGCTCCCAAAGAGCAAAATGTTCATATTCACACCCACACATAAATTTTGTAAGTCCCAAGTTCTTCCTATGGGGTATTCCCCTTGAATTTATGATAAACGTATGCATGCGTTCTTACGTGAAATGTCATCCGTATAACTCTGAGCAATTTTACATAAAGAATAGCCAAGTAAAAGTTTTAATATGTAACCAGGGCAGGATTAAACCAATCCTAAACTTTTAAAATTTAAAATTCACATTAATAACTCTGAAATAGGACAAAATTTCAGCAGCTCCGGAAATTTCAGCCAAGAGGATACCAGATACACTTCCGTAGTAAAGCAGTTTTAGTGATCGAGTTTCTGTGGGTGCGAAGGAGCTTCTCCCCGCTACAGGCTGCGGGGCAGGGGAGAGGCGCACGAGGCCGGGCGGATGGGGAGAGCAGCTCCTTCCGGGACCACAGCCCAGGTTTTGTGGACCCGAAAGGCCGCAACAGCCTCTGAGACGGGCCCCACAACAAAGCCAAAACCCCCTGAAGGTGTTCCGGGAGCACCCTTGCCTGGCAGCCCGTTTTGTGCTCCCTGTGGGGCCGAAATGCATCCAGGGGCAGCCCCACACGGACAATGCTGCAGCAGTCGCTGTTCCTGCCCGGCGTGGCCCACGCCCTCCGTGCAGCTTGCGTTCTGGGTGAGCCGGGGAAGGGGCCCGCAGCACCCCCCTGGGGTGGGGCTGGTGGGCACCTCCCTGTGGCAGGGCTGCCCCTGCAGAGGACGGTGGGCTCAGGCCACACCTGGCCCTCCCCCTGCGCTGGCCCGCCGTGCCCGCGCCGTCCCCACTCGCCCTGAGCGGCGGCTTCCTGGCCCCCCGCCAGCCCATTGCCGATTCTGGACAAGACCTCCGGCTTCCTTGGGATTTGAGGACAAGGACGGCGACGCTTGTGTGTTCCTGGCACGCCGACGGTCCCAACATGCCCAGTCTCCCGGTGACGCCGGCAGCGGCTGAAGAGAATGGGGGGGAGTGGCCCTGTGGGGCAGAACAGCGGGGGCCCGGGACAGGTCAGCGCAGGCCCCCATGCCCCTGGTCCCCGGCACTGCCTTCCCAACCTGCCTGGAGCCCCGCAGATGGGCTCAGCGGCCGATCCCACCCTCCCAGGCAGCTGGGAAGGACGGCGTGGCCAGTGGAGCGGCAGGCTGCGAGGAGGAGGCGAGGAGAGCTGCTCGCCGTCTCGTCTCCGGGGGCAGGTTGGCCGCTCGCTCCCGCCCCACGGCTGCCACCTGCCGGCTTGCCAGGTGAGAGTGGGGGGCAGGGGCCACAGCACCCCTGCTCCCTCCACAGCTCTCCCAACAAGCCATTTGCGGGTGTCCTGGGGGCATGATGTCGCTTTTACCCGATGTGACCCGTCTGTGATTGAGTGAGTGAGTGATTGATTGATTGTTGGAATATATTTCAGTGCTCCAAGCCTCCAGGGAGAGGTTTTGGGCCGATGGGCCGCCTCCAAATCCCTGAGTGAGTGAATGAATGCGTGAATGAGCAGCGGGGAGAGGAGGGGCTGCCCGGGGGCTCATGGCTGAAGGGTGTGCACCCCCCCCTCCGGAGCTGGGAGAAAGCCGGCCTGGAGCGCCAGGGAAGTGTGGCTGCTGGTCCGTGCCGGCGAGGCGAGGCGAGGCGAGGCTGGGCTGCGTGGACCAGGGCGGCGTGCGGCACCCCGGTTTGCAGGCAGGGCGGGGAGAGCATGTGAGCGAGCAGAGCGGGGTGCCGATGGGCCATCCGCCAGAAGGAGCGCCCGGGGGGGCCCTCGGGGACAGACCGGCCGCCCTCGCAGGGCAGTCCGAGCCGGCCGAACGCGAGGGGGGGTTCCCGCAGAGGGTTTAGCGAGCACGTCCCAGCGGGGGCTGAACCCCCCTCACTCTTCCCGGAAAGTCCTGTCCCCATGAAGCCCCGTGACGGCTTGGAGTGACTCCACCATCCAGGCCGGGTGAAGGTGCCGCTCGTCTCCACGGAGGGCAGGGCCTCCTTCCTCCAAGACGGACCCACCGGCTGCGTTCTGCTGCAGGAACTATTCGAGTTCCTTTTGCAAGCGGTCTGGGGGTGCCCGGGAGACGAGACCGGGACGCCGGCAGGGCTGGGGGAAAGAAAATTAAGGGAGGAGGGAGCTGACCCCGGCTTTTCATCCTGTTACAGAAGGTTGTGGCCTTCCCTAGCAGAAGCGAGCTCCCGGAGGACGCGCCAAGGCTGCCCCGGTCGATGCGCCCGCCTTGCCATGGCGGCCCTCTACGGCAGCGAGGTCAAATGTGTCAGCGTCGAGTGGGACTTCCTGCAGGGGCTGCTGGTGAAGAACCAGCCCGTGCCCTGGTAAGTCAGCTCTGCCCGGCGCCCGAGGGCCGCGCGGCACGGCGTGTGTGCGGCTGGACACACTCTGTGGCGCCCCTGAACTGGAAGGCAGGACCGGGCTGCTCCCTGTGCCCCAGTCGGCCTCTGCATTGTTGTCTGTTGCACAGGGCCTTTGTGAAAAGGCGGGAGCGTGGCGGAAGCCTCCCCACTTGGCCCACTCTGCATCCACAGAGGCCGCTTTGCCAGCTGAGCCTGCAGAGGGCTGTGGGGCAGGATCAGGCCCAGGGGCCATGTGGGGCAGTCCTTCTGTTTACACGGGGCAGCCAGCGGCCCCATAGGAAGCCCACCAGCAGGACACGGTGCCGCAGCCCATGCTCCCCAGCAGCTGGTGTCTGCAGGCACAGCGCCCTGCTCTGGGGTGGCACAGATCCGTCAGGGCCGGGAGCCGTGGAGACGCTCCTCCTCCAGGAAAACCCATCCAGCATCTGGGCAAGGAAATGGCCCAGCTTGACTCTACGGGGCGCGAAGAAGCCCTTCCTTGGGGCCGTCCGGAGTCTCCCACCTGGCAGCTCCATGGGGTGCCCCCTTTGGGTCCTAGGATTATGGAGAGGGAGAAAAAGCCCTTTTTTTCCCCTTGCTGCACGCCAGGCACACTCTGTGCCGCTCTTCCGTGTCACGCCAGCCCTGCCCCATGTTTCTGCGCTCCTGCCGGTCTTTCTGGTGAATTATTCAGTGTCAAGAAGGTGGGCAGTTGGCGTTTGGGCCAGCCGGCCATCCTTTCCTACCAGGAAATGGCGCACGGGGCAGTAAACAACAATAAAGCAACTCCCAGACCAAAAGTATAATTAAACCAACGACGAAGCAGACACTGAATAGCCTAAATGACGAGTGGAACGCCGCGCTGGCACTGGGCCCGCGGCTGAGGAACCTGTGACTCCGCAGATGTTCCTGAGTTCTGCTCCTTCTGGGGCTGCAGCCCCCGTTCTGCCCCATGGCCCCCCCTAATGCTGCCCCCCCCCCGCAGCCTGCAGGCCCTGCGCAAGGAGAAGTCCCGCAATGCCGCCCGCTCCCGCCGGGGCAAGGAGAACTTCGAGTTTTACGAGCTCGCCAAGATGCTGCCGCTGCCCGGAGCCATCACCAGCCAGCTGGACAAGGCCTCCATCGTGCGCCTGACCATCAGCTACCTCAAGATGCGCGACTTCGCCAGCCACGGCGACCCCCCCTGGGGCCTGCGAGCCGACGGGCCTTCCCTGGCCGGCAAAGGTGGGTGCAGCTGCGGGCCGGGCGGGCGGGTGGGAGGGAGCCCCCGCCACACACGGGGTCTGCAGCTCGCCCGTCTGGGGCCGGGGGCTGGGGCCAGCTCTGCGGAGCCAAGGACGGCTCCAGGAGTGCCCGGTTTCTCCTGGGGGCCGTGGCCTCCCCCGCGGCAAGTACCAGGGCCTTGGGCGCACAATGCACGGGCCGGACCCGGGTGCGGTCGGTGCGTGCGCCACCCTTAAGTCGGTCTGGTCCCACCTGGTGCTTTGGGCCAGTAAGGACTGCAGGCACCCGTCAAATAGCAGAAGGAGCATTGTGTGCAAACCGAGAACCGAGAACGTTCTAATATTCAGCAGCACTGGCAAGACTTCGCTTGCGCTGGGCCTCTGTCTGGCATGGCGGGCCGTCTCTGCCGTCTTTGAGTCTTCTCAGCAGGTCCCGTGCCCGCTCAGAAAGAACAAATCGCGCAAAATCGTACAAAGGGCTCTGACTGGAAACGTCTGCCATTCAGGGCGCCGGGGCCGCTTAGCACCAGCATTGCTTCAAGCTTGGACCGGCGGCCTTGAGTTCATTTTGCGGCTCGGACAAACGTGCACGAGCGTGTCCATAACGCTGCACACCTGCAGTCCCCCCCCCGCTCAAAATGCCGCCTTGCTAGGCATGGTCTGCGCAGGGGGGAGCCCAGCCTCCGCAGGGCACTATGGCGGGGCTGAGGGCCCGAGGGCACAGGCTTCCTGCCCCCTCCAAAAACCTTGCTCAATCGTCGCTTGGGTTTGGGGGCCTTCATCCGGCACTGAAGCCACAAACGCCCCAGCAGGTCTCTGTGGCCGTGTGAGTGGCACCTTTGGGGTGCGGCCCTAGGGCCCTTCAGCCTGCTGGGGCATGCTGGGGGTTGTAGGCCCTTTCTCTGCACCGTTGGCCTCTTTTTTAAAAAAAGAAAGGGAGTGGGGATAGGCCAGTTCTGGAGAAACAGTGTCTGGAGGGCCCCGGGCTTATTTGGCGTGTTTCGTGGGACTGTGATGGCTGCGCTCGTGTGGTGGGGATTCGCGTGCGGGACCAAGTTCCGAGAGGCTGTTGGGGGAATCGCTGCCCCTTGGCTTGCGGGCAGTGGGATGCCTTGACCCCGGAGGCCCCGATCCGTCCCGGCCAGCGTTGCCCACACTGGCAGAGCAGCTGCTTGGACTCGCGTCCGTAGCAAAGCTGGCTCTCTCCCACGGAGGGTCCCTCTTTGTTGCATCCCAGGCAGATGCCCACGTTTCTTCGTCCCAGGACTGCGTGCAGCAAAGGACAATTTGCAGGGCTTGGGAGCGATAGAAAAGCCCTCAGGCCCTGTTGTGGAGTTTGCAGAGGTGGGTCGAGGAAGCTGAGAGACCATTTCTGCAGTGCGACTGAGGTTAAAATGAGAGGAGAGAGAGCCATTCAGCTGCCACAAGCTCCTTGGAGAAGACATGAGATAAAAATGAAATAATATTCTAATACGCATTTATTTAGCTGAAGCTCTCTGGGCAATAATACAGATGGTGATGCTCGTATGTGGAAGGTGACTTGCAAAACGCCACTCCGTGCCCTAAAATACCATCTTTGCTCCCCGAAAGGAATTTGGAGCTAAGGCCCCTCCCCCATTTGGATTCCAGGAAACTGGGCGCCTGTCTCCCTCTACCAGTATCGCACACTGGGACCAGTGATGGCTCTGCCGGCAGCGGGAGGGCATTTCCGGCCCCAGGCAGAGGACCTCGGAGTCTTCCTCCCGACAAGCAGCCCGGGCTGTGCCATCCTGCCCAGACCCCACGAGGCAGCCTGGCTCTCGGGGGGTCTGCAGTGGCCCAGGACGTGGACGAGTGCCCGCTTCTTTGGAATCGGCCTCCCCGCGTGATGCGTGCGCACCGGTGCCTTTCCATTCCGACACACACATCCGAGCGCTCGCCCAGATGAAATAGCATTGATTAGCCATGCACCATTTAAATAATACAGCCTCAAAGTGTGTAATTAAATAAATTAACTGCCTTGGAAGAATACAGGCTTGCAGCCATTTCTGATTACTATCATTACCCACAGGGTAATTATCAGCCAAATAACGAGTGTTCCGTGAAATAGGGATAAACATCTGCCTATTGTTTGGGGGGGCTGGCGAGGGACTGTCCATTTTCTCCCCCCTCCCGGCAGATTCCAGCACTGAGGAAGAGGCCCCCCCCCCCCCCCCCCCCCCGCTGCCTCCCTCAGTTTGCAAGAGAGGCCAGGATCTGTAGGGAACGAATCCCGGTAATGACGGGCTTTCAAGGAGAGGTGCCAAGGCGGCTGAGAACTTTTCCAAACGGGAGAAGGGATCTTGCCCTATTTCGCGACAGCTGGTGCCCCGCAAGGGCGTTCTAAAAACGGAGGGCAGAAGAGTTGCTCAAGAGCTGGGATGCTCAAATACTGCCTCGCTTAACCCTCTCCGGGTACCGGCAAAGCACGAACCAGCTTTCTGTAATGAGGACTAGAGGCTTGTATGGAAGGCAGCGTATGAAGCTGGGAATGCAGCTCCGTGGCAGAAGCCTGCTTGGCATGCAGAAGGGCTTCAGGCAGGGCTCCAGGATTCCTCCTGCAACCCAACGAGCTGCTGCTGCCGATCAGTGCCGGGCGCAATGGGCTATGGCCTGACCTGGTATAACAGGCAGATTCCTCCCTGCGCTCCGCTCAGTCTGACAGGCTGAACCCGCCTTTTCGCAGAAACACGATTGAAATTCCCCACTCCCCCTGCCTTACACATTCCAGAAGAATCGTCAGTATTTGACCACTCTCTCTGTGTGAGTGTGAGAACAACCACACCTGTGTAATGCACACCGTGTTGAAAAGCGGCAGGAAAGAAGTCCAGAAAGCACGAGCCCGGGAGCCCAGACAGAGGTCCTGTGGAGTTCAGGGATAATTCGCTTCCTCAGACTTGTGTGCATTGCATTTCCAGGGCAAAGTTAGCAGTGGCCACTGCAAAACAATGTGCCCCAGGCGACAGTTGTTTACCGATTGCAAAAGACTTTAGCACTACCTAAACAAGAAGCAAACTTAAAACATCGACAGACAGTCATGGGCAACAAAACCTCAGCAGACAGACTTGAAAAGCTTTGGTTTAAATCAGTCTCTGTTGACTGGGGGACTTGCCGATAATTTTTACAACTCCCAGCATTCCTAGCCACCTGCTAGGCTGGCTGGGACTGATGGGGTTTGAAGTCCGAAAGACCTGGAGGGCGCGAGGGTGGGGGGTGCCTGATTTCCCCCGCAAGCTGCAGAGGAGGGCAGGGCATGTTCCATTGGAGCCAAGCTCAGGGAACCAAGGATCAAGTGGGATGCCAGGAAGTCCTTCCTGACGGTTAGGACCCCCAGGGCATGAAATGGGCCTCCCTGGGAGGTGGTTGAGGCCCCATCGGTGCGGGTGTTTAAGGACAGGCTGGACATGCACATGGAGGGCGTGTCGTGAGCGGAGCCGGCTGAAGCTGGGGGTCAGACTAGATGGCCTGGGAGGCCCCTTCTGACTCGCTCTGTTTCTGTGTTTCTCTCTCAGCCCTTGCAAGATAAAGGCATGCTTATATGTTTGTATGCACACGCGTATGCATGTTCCTGGCAGGGGAGTTCCCAAGAGAAGTTGGGAAGCTACCAGATGGCTGCCAGGCAGGGGAAGGTGGGCAAGGCACCCAGAGAACTGGGCCAGGGCACGTTGGATGTGGACCGCAAGCCCAGGGGTCAATATTTCTGCTCCGGACTGTAAGCTCCATGAGAGCAGAGACCTTTCTGCCCCCTCCACTTGAGTCTGGGGGTGGCTGCTCAGTGCCTCCTCTCTGAGCCCCCCAGAATGCCTCACCACTTCGTCCCTGCGTGGCTGATTATCTTCCGTGCTCCCCAGAGAGGCTGTTGGCCAGCCGTTTCTCCTGTACTAATTCCCATCTCTGACCGGGGGCCAGTCTCCCAATCAATCGCGTTAGTGCAATTAGCAGTGGTTTTAATGCCCACAGCAAGTATCTTCGTGGGGCCTAGCCGGGCAAAAACATTAAGGTCATGTTGATTAACCAGTCCGTGGTTTATTATAAACATCTGGAAGGAGCGCATTTTACATCTGACAAGTAAAACGGAGCGTGACTTTTAATTTGTCTGTTCCTCGGGTCACTCGGCTCGTGTGGGGGAGATCGTGCGAAAAGCGTGCTGTGCTCGGTGGGCAGCGCAGGCTTTAAGCGCAAGCCAGGTGTGACGAAGGTGACTTGTGTGCCATAGAGACTTTGCAACGTGCAAGGAGGCAGGTCCCTGCCCCAAAGAGTGTGCAAACCTACGTTTTGATCTGGAGAAGACACGCAGGCTGGGGTGCCCAGAGGAGAGATGCTCCTGTGTACGTTTACACAGGAGAAAGGCAGCCTGGGTACCAAGCGGGCTCTGCCACTGAGCTGCAGGAGCAGCTCTGGGGCTGGGGACCGGGACGCTGCTCGTCGCGTTTGTGCGAACCGAAGGCCGGGCCAGACGGGGCCCAGTCCCGTCCACGGGGCTGTTGGAGGTTCTGGTGGTCTCTCTGTGGCGTGTGGCGGGCTTGTCGCTCCCGATGTTGGCTTCGGGCACAGCGGGGGAGCCACAGACACGGCGGCAAGGTACCTCCTCCTCCGCATTTCAGAGCAGGTAGCCTGGCCCCTGCCCCCCGCCGCCCGGAGGGCCCTCGGGCACCCCCACCTTTTCCAAGCCTGCGCACTCGCTGTGGGGAAAGGCCTGGCTTGGAGGCAGACGTCCCTTCCGGCCCTTGTCAGGTTCCTGCTTCAGCCTCCACATTTCCAGGCGAAAGGAGATGGGTGGCTGGCCCCGCTGGCTGGGAATGATGGGCACTGCAGTCCCACATCTCCAGAGGGCAGCTGGCGGGGAAGGCTGGACGGGGCGGCAGGCCTGAGGCGTTTCCGGGAGCTCTTCGGCAGGTGCAGCCCCTCCACGGGGGAGCGCAGTGTCTGGCGAGAACGCCTTGTCCCCGAGCCAGGCAGGGTCGTTTCCCTTGCAGATGTTTG